CAGCTACTCAGGAGGCTGAGGCAAGAGGATTACTTGAACCCAAGAATTTGAGGTTGTTGTGAGCTATGATGATACCATGGCATTCCACCTGATGTGACAGAGTGATACTCCATCTCTAAAAAAGAAAGAAAAGAACAAAATAAAAAAGGCATTGTTGTCCTGATGTCATCAGGCGTGCCTACAGCCCCGTGTACCCTTCCTCCATCTGAGCTGTTTAGTAAGTGAACCTGGGTGGGACTAACTCCAGCTAAGGGCCAGGTGGTCTTGTTACTCTGCCTGAAGCTCAGACTGTTTTTAATCAGAACTGATAAATCTCTTGCCAGATCCTCCTGTCCAATTTCTTGGCCCAGACAGAGGCCTTAATGAAGGGGAAATCTACAGATGAGGCCCGGAAGGAACTCCAAGCTGCAGGAAATAATCCAGAGGTCTTGGAGAAGCTGTTGCCGCATAAGGTCAGTGCTTCTCCTGAAGTTGGCTTTGGGGCAGAATGCTGGAAGAGGGCTGAAGTTGTGGCACCAAGGCAGGGACATGGTGGTGGCATGCCTGGCTGCTCCTACACACTGGGGGAGAGTCTGTCCTCACAGATCTGCACACCTCACCCTCTGGGGCACGATGTGCATGTCTCCTAGGGGCTTGGGGATCAGGACTGACTTGGGGGCATTCCTTGGTGTTTTCTGAAGGTCTTTGAAGGAAATCGCCCAACCAACTCTATCATGTTCACGAAGCTCACACCATTCATCCTTGGAGCCTTGATCGGTGAGTCAGTAGGGGAAGGCACTGGTTTGGCATGGATTAGACTGGGCTGGCAGAGCCCTGATGTGTGCTGTCTGCTCCCTCTGCAGCCATGTACGAGCACAAGATCTTCGTTCAGGGCATCATCTGGGACATCAATAGCTTTGACCAGTGGGGGTGAGTTGCTGGCCCAGGAGAGGGTGGCAGAGGCCTTTGGTTTGGCACAGGGACTTCACTAGTGATATTGGAACCTTCCTCGAATCATTCTTCCTTGCCCCATGGCAGAGTGGAACTGGGGAAGCAGCTGGCTAAGAAGATTGAGCCTGAGCTTGATGGCAACACTCCAGTGACCTCACATGATTCTTCCACCAATGGGCTGATCAACTTCATCAAACGGGAGCGTGAGCCCATAGCCTAACACGCTCATCTCAGCTGCAGCCCCTGTGGCGACCACTGCCTCTTGTCTCTCCTCTCCAGAGCCTGCTTTGCATGGTCCTGCCCCTCCTTCCCCAGAGCACCCTCTGCTCGAGGGCTTGGACCAGTAGCCATTTGGGAGATTATGATCTGGAATTGTCACCTCAACCCCCTCCGTGTCCATCCACCGTCTCCCTGGTTGACAACTGGCTGATGTGTTTCAGTGCAGCTGATTCTTCTCACCCATGTTCATATCCTAGTTAGAAAAATAAAGATGCCACAAAGGAGGTTGTAAACTCAGCTTCTTATTTTTTCCTGAGATGGTGCTTTGTGTAGCAGTTGGGGTGCACAGTAGGAATCAAGCTGTGCCTTGCTTGACGCTTGGCTATAAGTGGTGAGCAGGTCTAGAGTAGAGGATGGTCCCTTGAGAAGAGAGTGGGTGAGGTGAGGCCCAATTAAAGACAGGATGGGGACCTGACCTGTGTAATCAAACCCCAAGACCTCCTTCCACTCCTCACCTCTGTGCCTGGAGAAATCATACCCTGCTGTGCTTTTTTTTTTTTTTTTATTGAGACAGAGCCTCAAGCTGTCACTCTGGGGAGTGCTGTGGCATCACAGCTCAGAGCAACCTCCAACTCCTGGGCTCAAGTGAGTCTCCTGCCTCCGCCTCCCAAGTAGCTGGGACCACAGGCGCCTGCCACAACACCGGGCTATTTTTTGGTTGCAGCCGTCATTGTTGTTTGGTGGGGCCCAGGCTGGATTCGAACCCACCACCTCAGGTGTATGTAGCTGGTGCCTTAGCCACTTGAGCCACAGGCGCTGAGCTCCCTGCTGTGCTTTTAAAAACTGCACTGAGATTATAACAGGGGCGAATTCCACCCAACATCAAAGGTGACTACCATGTCCTCAGGTAATTCTTCCCTTTTATAAGGTGGACATTGAAAACAGGATTTTTTAACAAATTGCCTTTTTATCTTCTACTCAAGATATTAATATTTCGGCTCAGTGCCTAAAGCAGCTAAGGCACCAGCCACATATACCTGAGCTGGCAGGTTCGAATCCAGCCTGGGCCTGCCAAAC